AGGGAGGAAGGAACAGAAAGTTTATGTACATAAACCTTTTTTAAAAAAAGTATTGTTGCACCTGGTAGCTAGCTTTGCTGACACAGAAATGAGAGGTCTGTTCAGTGCTTAAATAGCTGAGAAACAATGGGATAGTGCAGGAAAGTTAACAATTAACAATCTCAGCTTAAATTTTGTAACTGCAGGGAACTGGAAACACAGCTGCCTCTCTCTTCAGCAAAATCAGGTCTCCTGGTTAAGGGAAGAATTTTTGTTAACATCTTAGTTTCTGAAAAATAAGCAGCTCCGAGCTGAATGATTATCATGCAGTTATGGTTTTAACCAGCCTGCTCATATTTAACTATCTCTGCTCATTTTAAAGAGAGAGGCAGAGAGAAGGGTAATGAGGCTTTTGAAATGCTTTTTACTCTACTTTTTTAAATGAGAGTACGGGGCAAACAAGGGAGCTGAAAGCATCTGGTTGAAGAGAAGCAGCAAGGAAGATGGGTCTGCTAAGTGTGGATTTGCTGATCACGCTTCAGATCTTGCCGGTCTTTTTCTCCAACTGCCTCTTCCTTGCGCTGTATGACTCTGTGATCCTCCTGAAGCACATGGTGCTATTTCTGAGCCGGTCTAAGTCTGGGCGCGGTGAGTGGCGGAGGATGCTGACCTCGGAGGGGCTGCGCTGCGTCTGGAACAGCTTCCTCCTGGACGCCTACAAGCAGGTGGGTACACGGGGTGGGGACCGACAGGTTGGGGTGGGGAAGCTGTGATGAGCATCTTTCTTGTCAACGGAGAAGGGAAGGCAATGACTCGGTGCGGTGCAGACTATGTCCTGTTTGATGTTAAGTTTGGTGGAAGAGGTATAAGCCGAAAGAAGCAGTACTTTTAAGTTGGGGCTAGGGGTTCATGAGATTCAGGAGCTGCTGTCTTTGCTCTGCCACTAGCTCTCTGGGCAGCCATGGCCATGTCACTTAGTTTAGCTGTGCCTCAGTTTCCCCACCACTATGAATAATACTCTTCATGTTTATAAAATATCTCAAGATCTTCGTATAAGAGTAATTGTAAAATGATCTAGATGTTTTCACAGCTGTTGTTTAATTGTTTGCCATATGAAATCCTCAGAGATCATACAAAGACTGCATGTCCAGATAGATTTCTGCATCTATAGATGTCACCTATGCAACATAGATAGAATGGTTTTAATTAGAGTAAAAGATATCAATGAACCTTTGTCATTACACTGGCATTTTCAGTTACTCATATGTTAATTTTTATATTGGAGGAAGCATCCAGGTTATAGTAAAGCTGTGCACGGAGTGAAACAGTGACCCTTTTTTCTTCATGAAAGCAGTGACAGCGGGACATGTCAGAGATTAAAAATGAACTTGACTAGCTGAGGGACAGCAGGCTGGTGATTTAAGTTAATAAAGCCAATAGCAGTTATGCAACATTAACTTTTTGTTTTCATTTTAAGTTTTGTACAAACATTACTCAGTGGCACTGCCCAGGTCTCATGGGGTAGTTATAGTTCCCTTTTATAGATTGAAAAGGTGGACCCAAAAACATGCACAGGCCACCCAGTTAGTAAGTAGAAGAACTGGATTCAGAGCTCTGTGGCTTCCAAAACAGTGCTTAGTCTGTTAATGTGTTGTCTTATTTAGACCATCTAATTTAACATACCCCATGTGATGTCGTGAGATCATAGGGGTCCTACCCAAATTATAGCTCTGTATCTCCTGAAATATTTCTTTTTGTATCACCTTCCTCCCAGCCTCCTTTCACTCCATCACAACTGCTTTTGTATTTGCTCTTACCTAGACATGTGAAGAGCTGGTGGTGGTGGTGTTTGCTGGCTTTGTGATATGGAATACAAGCTGCTTAGCCTGAAACCCAAGCCATGGGGACGTTAATTTTCAATGTAAGACAAATATAAATAGTGTTAGCTCTTGCCAAATGGGTCAGCCTCTTACTGCTACCCTAGGAATCAGACAGCTGGATACCCGAATAAAGTAATGCTGGATGAAGATCACTATTCTCCTAGCCCTTCTAGTTTCTGCTTTTAGTCTATTCACAGACATTAAGGAAGTAAATTTTAGAGAGGCCTTGTTGAATAGGCTGGGGAACACAATTGTTCTAATTTTACAGACAAGGCAAGTCAGGACAGTTAACACACAATGTGGTCAAGGCTCCAGTGAAAGTTGGTAGCATGGCTCTGAAACAGTCAAGTTTCCAGTTCCTACATTTGCAACCTGTATGTGGCCCAGGATCTGGGGAAGGTGTGGAGCTGTAAGGAACTTTGTATCAATGAAATATTTTAAGTCTCATTTTGCATAAGTCATAGAATCATAGAATGGTTTGGGTTGGAAGGCACCTTAAAGATCATCCAGTCACAGCCCCCTGCCATGGGCCGGGACACCTTCCACTAGACCAGGTTGCTCAAAGCCTCATCCAGCCTGGCCTTGAACACCTCCAGGGATGGGGCATCTACAACTTCTCTGGGCAACCTGTTCCAGTGTCTCACTGCCCTCACAGTAAAAAATTTCCTCCTAACATCTAATCTGAATCTGCCTTCTTTCAGGGTCACATGCCTTTCTGTGTTTTCAAAAGTCATACTTTGCCTTTTCCTGTTGGTGTCAACTGTAGAAGCTACAGGGAGGATGACTCTGTGGTGGTTTTGGTAATGAAATAATACCCGGAACTTTGATAATTAAAAATTCTCCCTTATCACCATTAAATGACCTAGGTTGTTCTGTCCAATCAGGCTTTAAGATCCCTAGAATGAATTATAGGCCTCAGTTAACTCATTAGAAAAATGCATGCAAACATAACCAAATTTTATCACCTTGTTCCAAAAAGGGGAAAAAATCCATTCATGCCAGCTATCATTAAGATGAAACTAATTGACCAACAATTCATGGAAAGACTCTGTTCTCCCTAATACAATTATGGACCATAAGGACAGACATAACTGGAAACCCTTGATTGTCACAGAAAGGTAGATAAGTGTAGAAATCAAATTATAGAGGAGACACAATAAACTGGGAGCAATATTAAGAGACGATTAGTCATGGCTTCCACAATAGAGGGGAATCTTCTGCTGTTTCTGTAAGGAAGCAAAAGAAAAAAAAAGGTTCATCTGGGAAGCTATACTGGTAGAGTTGAAAAAATTTCAAATATACACTGTTTTTTGGCATGTTTAAAAAAGCATGGCAAAGTAGTGAAATATATTAAAGACTGTCCCACAAAGCATATTTTTTTCTCTTAAATTGTCTTTTTCTAAATCCTGAATAGAACTGCCCAGTTGTGATATCTTAATCTTAGCCAATTAATGAGCGTAGGAAATGAAAATACGATAGAATCAGGTACTGAACATCATGGCAAAATGCAGTTATCATACCCGTTATTGCTTAGTGCTCCAATTTGCTAGCTGAAGCCAGGTATTAGCAAAGTACTTAAACAGGTGATTAAGCTCATTCCATTGAGGAGTATTTATGAGATAATCACCTTTTTTTTTATCTAGAATAGCAGAATTGCAGATGTCTGAGATAAACCAAAGCTGGCTTGCCAGTTAGCAGAAGACTGGATTAAAACAGTAAATATGCTTGATTTTACTGTTTTGTGTCACTTACACAAAACTCTTCCTGAGTACATTTCATAGCATTTTCACTAAAGTACTTTATGTAAAATTTCTATTCACATAAAAATTTACTGGAAGCCATTCCAGAAGAACTCTGTGGGTAGATACTAGATTCCAGATTAAAGTAAATTTATTACAAGAAATGAACTCTGCCTTGAAAGCACCCAAACTGTACCAGAACTGAGTGATTCTGTTTCAAGACTAGTGTGTACCAGAGATGATCATGGAACAGGTAGAGTATATGTGAACATAGCTATTCTGATGCCTTTTTTCTTCTAGAAAAGCTTTTGAATATGTTACCCAGATGTCAGCTTGCTTTTGTTCTGCTTTTTGTTGTTGTTAAGTAGTATTGCACATGACTTTTTGTTTAGGGCAGTTATTTCATAGGCAAGACTACCTAGCAACAGGTGAAGGTTTTAACATCCTCAGTGGGGAAGCAATGCAAAGTTTTTTGTATTGTACACCGAGTATATTCAGTATTCTTTTTTATTGGAACATTCTGTATGACTTGTTTTCTCCGTATTTTATAGTCCCACTGGAATAAAAATGATTAATCTTTTGTTTATTTTTGTTTTCTTATGTAAATTTTATCAATTATTAATACATTTATTTTTATTTCCTTAGCTCTGAGTTCACTGTCACACTCAGTATTGTCTACACTGCACCAGCTTTGTGATTTGTAGAACATCCTCCTCCTTTTGTGAGAGGCAAGCATGTCTTAAATTACAAGGGAGTCTTTAGGACCAGATTAATTGTCATAACAGAGATTAATGGAGTTAGTAGTCAAGTTACATTAAATTTATATTAAAAGAGTGCAACTATTATTTAAATGTTATATTTCTGATTTTTTGTTGTGCTCTGTTTATCTACAGAAATGAGTGGATTGACTCCTGAAGAGCAAATCATGTATGTATGTATGTGTGTGTAGGTATTTACGCTTTTATATGTGTTTGTATGTACCCAGATATATATACGTGTGTGTATGTGTCTCTAGATATGTACATACATATACGTATATGGGTATAAATGTAAAAATACACATGCACAGGTATACATAATCTGCTCTTTCAGGATTCAGTCCACTGTCATTTTTCTGTTTATGTGTACACATATATATGTGTGTATGTATAGATATGAATGCAGCCACATCTACTGACGAGAAAGAAAAGAGATTTTTGGTGGTGTGTTAGTGTGCCTTCTGCGTGATTTATATAGGCTAACCGTGCAAATGCTAGTGAGGCATTCGTTTTAGCCCACAGCATGTATACTGAATGTGTCACATATCTTAACAGAAATACAGAGAAAAAGCTGGAAAAGATTTGAAAAAAACCTTTTTTTTTAACTTTTAAAAGATTTTACCTGCTGAGTTCTATGCTTTATTTAGTACTGTGATGAATGCACTTTCTAGGATTCCAAAGGTGAGAAAGTGTTATCTCAAAATGCTTTTAGAATGAGTACAAAATGAGCACCTGTTAGCATTGCCCAGTGGTGAGGCTTCCTGTTGGGAGCTTTTCCAGGGCCAGATGCGAGCAATGCAGAGCTACCATTCCTTGTCTCCAGTATAAGAGCTGTAAGGTTATCCTAGAGGAAATCCTCCCTCTTCTCCACCTCAGTGCAGGGTAGTTTGAGTGAAGACCTTAACAGCATCTTCCTGAAGCAGCCACATGCTTAGGAATGCTGTGGTGCACCTATGGGAGTAACGTGCACTGTGCATATACACACGTGTGTAAATGTACGTTACAGCCCTCAGAACGATGCTGGTATCTTAAGTGATGGATGGTAATGGGTGTGTGTATGTAGTTGTACAGCTTTTTACTGTCTTTACAGTGGGCCAGCAGCAAGCTCTGGCATGACAGACCCAGCACGGAGGGAATGGTTGGCACAGGATCCCAGCTTCACAGTGTTGGCCCAGCTCTGGATGTAGCAGCAAGTAGACTGCTCAGTAAACACCCAGTGGGATTTTCCTGAGATTTCAGGGAGGCACAGTTAAATTACCTTTGGCTGCTTCTGCATGCCTTATAGGTAAATCATTTATTCCTAAAAAAAATCAGTATGCAAAGCAGGACAGCCTAAAAACAGCCATGT